GATAAAGGTGTCCGGTTTGTGACCAAGGCATGAACACGGTCATCGTTGACTTGCCTTGGCATGTTGACTACCTGGAGTACTGTGTCCAGCTTTGGAGTCCTCAGCACAGGAAGGACACGGGCCCATAGAGGGCTGGAGCACCTCTGCTATGATGACGGACTGAGAGAGCTGGGGTTGTTCAGCCTGGAGAAGAGAAGGCTCTGGGGAGACCTTAGACAAGCCTTTCAATATCTGAAGGGAGCTACAGGAGAGGTGGAGAGGGACTCTTTGTCAGGAAGTGGAGTGACAGGACAAGGGGTAACGGTTTTAAATTGGAAGAGGGGAGATTTAGATGAGATATTAGGAATAAATTCTTTCCTGTGAGGGTGGTGAGAGCCCAGCCCAGATTGCCCAGAGAAGCTGTGGCTGCCCCATCCCTGGAGGGGTTCAAGGCCAGGCTGGAAGGGGCTTGGAGCAACCTGGTCTGGTGGGAGGTGTCCCTGCCCAGGGCAGGGGGGTTGGAACTGGATGATCTTTAAGGTCCCTTCCAACTGAAACCATTCTATGATTCTGTGATTTAGGGCCATTTGTCTTTGTTGCTCTCTGTCAGACCAGGAGGGGCCGGCGATAAATCGATTCTCTGTGGCCACCATGCTCTCCTGTGCTGTCATTATGTGTGATTATAAGCAATAGCAATAATCATCATGTCACTGTTTCCAAGGCAGGCTTTGCTGCCGTTGTATTGGTGCTCTCTCATCTCCAGCCCCCCCAAACGGGCAGGTTGGTGTGTTTTGCTGGCTCTGTGGTGACAGGTAATAATCTGAAGGCTACAATATCACCCAAGGGTTGCACTCCAGGCCTGTCTCTTGCAAGAAGCAGGTAGCACACATTTCTCCCTGCCTTTTCTGCTGCTTTAGCCATGGGCACTGGGCAGGGGACTTGTGGCAGGACCCAGCTTTGGCTTTCCTGCTGCAGGAGAGGGGCAGGTCCCCTTCTCACTCTCCTGGGAAATGGCAGAGTTGATAGAGAAAGCTGCCTCCACGCAGCAAAGACACCGCTGGCTGCAACATTCATCCAGCCCTCCTCCTCTCTGGATTAAGGAGGGCTTGCTTTTTTTTTTTCTCTCTCTCTTTTTTTTTTTTTTAAATCAGTTCAATGTTTTACAGCTCAAATTCAAATAGGAGCTTAAGAGCTTAAACAGTGAAACGTGAGGATGTGTTGGCATTGGCATGGCTGGACCATCTTCCCTCTCCCTGCAGAGAGCCCATGCTGGGCTCTCTGGGGGTGAAAATACCTGTGTCTCACCATCACCAGCTGGTTTGCTGGGAGTGGGGGGTGAGACATGTGGGCAGACCGACCCTTGGGGTTAATCCTAACAAGGTCATGCCATTTTACACCCTGTGGGAGAATTCTTAGAAATTAACGGTCATCCCGTGAGCACCCCAAGCGCTGGGCAGCTGTTGGTGGGAGAATTCTTAGAAATTAACGGTCATCCTGTGAGCACCCCAAGTGCTGGGCAACTGTTGACAATTAGCCTCTGACAACGGTCCAGGCCCTTGACAGCAGTGCAGGCCTCAAGGTTCCTAAACGGTTAAGTTGTGATTTGTAGCTGTCTTCTGAATGTACTGATAAGTAAAAGCTACTCCTTTTCTGCCAGCTTCATTAGTTTACGAATCACAACTTAACCGTTTAGTAACCTCGAGGCCTGCACCGTTGTCAAGGGCGTGGACTACTGTCAGAGGCCTATTGTCAACACCCACTGGCCCAGTTTTCCCAGCATGGTTTTTCCCTCTCCCCAACGCTGACACGTGTGTCTTTGTGGGTGCTGGGTGTCCCCAGGACTTTTAGGGAGGTGGGGAGAATAGCAGGCAGGGTCCGAGCTCTCCTGGAGCAGCGTGTGTGTGTGGAGCGAGACAACATTGGGGTCCCTGAAGATGCCGTTCCCAACCTCGTTCGAGATGGCCTGAAAATAATTGCAGGTGGCTGCCCAGCGCTCGGGGAAGCTGGTTGCTCTTCAGCATCGGCGGTCAGCCGCTGTCTGCTCCTTCGCTTGGACGCCTCCAAATCCCAAGGAAGCCCCTCGCCTCCCGCTTGGTCTCTCTTGTTTGGTGTCCTCCACTCTTGACTGCCTCTTGCCCTCCTCAGCAGCTCTCCCTCTCTTTCCTCTCTCTGTACCCCCAGCTCGTATCACAGAGCGACTTCCCAAAGCAAGAACTTCACCTCCCACCTTGTAGTTACTGTGAGAAGCAGCAAAGAAAGCCCAGGAGACAAGGTCACACCAGAAAAGGTGGGTTTTTCTGCCCGTCATGATGCGTCCTAAGGAGATGCAGTTGCCCCCAGGTTATTGTGTTATCAGGGCACAGAACAAAGCATATCTACAGCCTGGATGAAAAAAAGGAAAAAAAAAAACACCAAAAAAAAAAACAAACAGAAGAAAGGATGCTGTTCCATTTGGGGAAGGAAGACTCCTCCCAGGCTTCTGGACCAGATCCCCAGCTGGCGTAAATAAAAAAGCGCTAGACTGGTTTACTCTAGCTGCAGCTGCTGTAAAATTACTTTTTCCAAAGCATTTTCCTGCCTGGGTTGCTTTTCTTTCTCTACCTTCCTCCAACTTCAAATGTCATGGCTAAAATCCAGGCATGCAGCCTGCCCCACCTTGTCCCTCACAGTCTGACTGGGGAGCAGGATGGCTGAGAAACGTCAGACTCGGGGAGAATTCAGAGACAGAAATCATACAATTATGAAATGGTATGGGTTGGAAGGGACTTTAAAGATCATCCAGTCCCACCCCCCTGCCCTGGGCAGGGACACCTCCCACCAGACCAGGTTGCTCCAAGCCCCCTCCAACCTGGCCTTGAACCCCTCCAGGGATGGGGCAGTGACAGCTTCTCTGGGCAACCTGGGCCAGGCTCTCACCACCCTCACAGCAAAGAATTTCTTCCCAAGATCTCATCTAAATCTCGCCTCTTTCAGTTTGAAGCCATTACCCCTCATCCTATCGCTATGTGCCCTTGTAAAAAGTCCCTCTCCGGCTTTCTTGTAGGTCTCCTTCAGACACCAGAAAGCTGCTATAAGGTGTCCCTTGAGACTTCTCTTCTTTCAGCCTGTCTTCACAGCAGAGGGGCTCCAGCCCTTGGAACAACTTTGTGGCCCCCTCTGACCCCGCTCCAACAGGTCCATGTCCTTCTGCTGTTGGTGGCCCGAGAGCTGGAGGTCTTCCCAGGGCGGAGCAGAGGGGCAGAATCCCCTCCCTTGCCCTGCTGGGGATGCAGCCAAATGCTGCACTACCCTTCCCATGAATGAGGCCAACCAGTTGCCTTTGCCAGCACTCCCACTGCCCCTCCTCCAGAGCAGATAGCAAGCATCCTTCAAAGGCATGGGGCTGTTGGACCCGACGGCTGGTGGATGTGCCCAGACCTAGCTGGAAGGCGGAACATCATCTTAAAGGATGGCTCTCCAGCTGGTGCCTTCAGCTCTGCCAACGTCCTCGCTAATCCCTCAGTGTCAGGATGCAGCACTGAGGTGGAGATGGCCACCCCAGCTGGAAGGACCTGGGCTGAAGGGGTCTTCTCCAACATCCCTCTTACTGCCCAGTAGGTGAGCTTGTGTTTAAGGATGTCTTCCCCAAAATTAGCCACCTCTGCTAGTTTCCCTCTGAATGAGAAACACTTAAGGGTCACCTGCTTTCTTTAATCTCCTCCTGCTCTATTCATCTGAGCTGTGCATCCTGTTAATTGCGTCCCTTTTATTCTTGTCCATGCCAACACAGGAGTATTGTTAACTGCTATTGCTTTCTCTTTTTATTTTTTGTATGCTCTCAGTCACCAGCCCCTGTTACTCTGTACCACGAGAGTACACTTTCCTGATCACCTTCCTTCATTAAAAAAACTTAATTTTAGTGCTGACGGGAAACGAATTGGATTAAAGAAAATAAACCACCCTAAAACAACCATAAGGTTTCTTGTTGGATTAAATATTAAAATTAATAATCCAGTGCTGCATTCAGCCCTGTATTTATGTTAATATTTAATTCAATAAAAGCCCATGTTTTAGAACATTGTCCCATTTGTTTAAAGCTACAGATGAAATTGCAATTTCTGCATAAAGTATAACAATACGTGGCTAACTGCTTTATGGTAATGAGGAGGAATGGCAGCTCAGAAACCCTCTACCTGGCAGGGAGGGGAGGTTTTTAGCAGTAGGAAAGGGAGCGGATGGCAAGGCTGCGGAGGATTGCAAATCCTGCTCACTAGAGGAAAGCCTGACAGCTAGAGAAGGGGCTGTGGGCTGCGAGGTGACAGTGAGTGCTCTACACATGGGAACTGCTTGGCTTCAAAATCCCCCTGTTGCGTAGGGTTGGATCTCTGTAGCATCAGAGAGCTCGAGGGTGTTGGCCCCTTGGAAGGATGGAGCCGCCAGTGAAGATCCAGGTCCTGGGCTGGAGGTGCATCCCCCAAGGACCCATGTGGAGGCCTGGCATGTTCACCCCTTCTCATGTTTGGGATGTTTTGTCTAGCAGAAAAAAAGTGGTCCAGTGGTGGTGTTACCACACAAAGTCTGAGATTTAGATGTGAGCTGGGTTTGGACAAGGATGTGGGGCCTGGTGTGAGGCTGGCCCCAGGCTGAGCTCTCTCCCAGTGGCTCTGAAATGTCCTGGCTCTTGCTGGGAGCACCAGGGAAAAGGCACTAAATAATGAGCTTTAGTTCATTCTCTTCTCCAGTGCTGAATCAAGCCTGGCTGAAGTAGACCACAAGCACTGCTGTTGTCCTGGGGTTCAGCCTCAGGATCCCAACAGCAAGGAGAACTGAGTCCAGGAGGAGACTCCATCGCCCAGGATGTTTCATGTTTCAGTGCGGAAAATGAGCTGGGAAGGACTTTAAAAGTCCCGCTCAGTTGTTCTCATTTTCCAAGGGATGGAAAAGGGATGTTCCCGTTTCCCAAGGGTGGGCAGAGCCCCTTGCAGAGGCTGGTGCTGGGGTTCTACCCACTGGGAGATACTGAAAAAGCCATTTACTTCCCCAGGATACCTGTGATCTTGAAAACCAGAATAATTGTATTGTCTGATGTCAACGTGGAGGAAGAATGTGGAGCATTCAGCAACGATAAGCAAAACTTAAATGCTTTGGAGGTGGAGTTACAAGTGAGTTTTATGAAGTTTGGATACATACCCAAACTTCCTTGAATCTTTTGGGGCCTAATTAAATTTGAGGGGATTTATAAAAAACCTGCATGGAAGATAATACTCTTTTCTATTAAGGAACTGCTTAATAAAACAGATTATGTGTAAAATAGAAATATGGGCCTTGCGAAGGAAGAGTGAAAAGACACTAATGAGCAGTGTCTGAGTGTTAATGAATCGTATTAGCATGCCATTACCTGCAAATATTATAAATAGACTAACCAGTTTTAGGTTCCCTTTTCTCCAAAAAACCTTGCATGATTTCTGAAGGTGCCTTGATGCAGTTAGTCCTGTTTTGTCCAAGGGAGAACTGAAATGCATTCACCCCTCAAGCCTATGGTGGAGGTGGAGATAAGAACACTGGTTTTTTTATTTTTATATGGTATACTTTGGCCTTTGGGCATTGAAAACCCACCAGGCACCATCCTGACCTCTGCATGGAGCACCTCTTCCGTCTGCCTAGAGATAGCGTTGAGAAACTCACAGCTTCAGTAAGTACCTCCCTACCTGGATCCCAAGTCTTTAGTTCTTCTCTGGACCTTTTTGTGGTCATTGACACTTGGGTCTGCTCCAGGAAATATCCCACATGGGTGAGGGCACTTGGTAGGCAGCAAGTGCCAGGGCTTTGGCTGGTGAATGTGTGCCAGCACGAGGTCCCACCAGCCACACACTCTTGGTTAGGGGACCAGAGGTCTTTTTCCTGTGGTGTCTATGGTTTGTTAATCCCTGTTTTAAAAGATAGTAAAGCATCTCCCTCCTCCGTCACCGTGTCATCCTCAGCCTGTTCAGTGAAAGCCAGGAGCGATTTAATTTTTGTTTTCTTGCTCTTTGGAGCTCTGCTGGGAGCTGGCATTGACATCCGTGATTGAGAAGGATCCCACTTATAGCCGGGTAGGACTAGGAAAGATGGGCTGGTTTAATGGTAATATCAGTAAATATGTGTTCATGGATGTCTTTGTCACCTCAGACTGTTGCTGTGGAGCAGGGGATTACTGCATTTCATTTGGGCTCAGCCTACGGAGACTGACTTTGGGGAGGGAAGTGTAAAAGAGACAAAATGCCCGCGTGCTGGGGAAGGGCGAGCAGGGCTGGAGGCTACGCCGGTTCACAAAGGAGCACTCCTTCCTTGTTATTATTTACAGCAAAACTCCCCGTTGCAGTGATGGACACGTTCAATAATATCCGGGATGAAGAAGCTGGGAGGAGGCGCTGCTAATAATTGCGAAGGATGTCAAGAAGGAAGAACTAATGTGTTTAAACATATGGGCTGGGATTCCTCTCACCTCACCAATCATGTAAAAATTAGGTGCGTGCTCATTTTAGCTCTCTCTGCAGTCCATGCAGAAGCAAGTTTCTTCCAGAAGGCAATTTGTCCTGTCCCAAAGGGGTGTCCGTGATGGACGGGTTCAGTAGTTCTCTGGAGGTTTCTCCTCCTGTTGACAATAGAGAGTATAGACTAAGTTTTAGACTAAATACGTGACTTTTAGTTGGTGCCGTTAGCAGAGACAAGCCCTCTTCCTTCCTGGAAAAAAGCACAAATAACTGTAATTTCACAAAATCTCTGACAGTGAGTCTTCATTTTTTAAACAGCCCTAGCTGTCAGGAATAGCTGATGCATTTGAAGAAGATGGGTGGTGTTTGTAAAGCGGAGTGAAGAAGCAACGAGTAACTGCTGCTTTCTGGCTGACAACCTGATTGTATTTTTTTGATGTCCCTCCTTGGCTTCAGCATCGATGTCCAGACCTTTGCTCTGCCCGGCGTTGCAGACCTAGACCAGTGAGGAACCTTCCTCCCATTTGCTGAGGAAAAGCCATAGTCTTACCAAAAGCCACGGGGACTTTGTCTCCCACATCCCCAAAATAACATAGGCAAACAGATTCACCAGACATGTATGGGTGGGATGAAAAATGTAGCTATTGCACCACCAAAGTGTTGGGCAGATTATCACGCATAAGACTGGAGTAGAAAATAGGATGTATTTGCCTGATCAGTTCCTGTTACTTTGCTCCACCGTCTGTTTTGGGGTTTTTTTCCTTCTTTTTTGGGAGGAGAGTGTGAATGTGTTTCACATCTGCTCTTGAGGCACCAGGATTAACACCGTCTTCCAGAGCCTGGAGGTGGGTGGGATGCAGAAGCAGGCATGGTTTCAAGCTGGACTCATGCTCTGCTTCCCACCACGTTGCTCATGCTCGGCTGGGCCGGGATAAAATCATTGCTCTGTTGGGAGGTGCATCTTCTTCCAGGTTGGGGATCCCAGCAAGGCCTTGCAGAGGAGAGGCTCTCGGCTGGCTGTCTTGCTATTTTTCCCCTCTATTTGTGAACAGATGAGGGGGAAAAAAAGGCAGAGATTACAATGTTTTGCCTTCTTTTACTGCTGGAAGCAAGGATGAGCAGCTTTGTTTTACCAGACGTGTCTCTGCAGGCTCCTGGCAGGTTGTCCGTGGACTGCAGTTTGTGATGGTTGTCCTAGGGAGCAGGAGGGCTGTGACTGCATGCACTGGGAGGAAAAGGTTCATCCTCCTCTTTTTCTTTCATTATATGGCTTTGGAAATTCTCCCCTGTAATCATGGGCCTCATTCTGCTCCTAGGCATTATCCTGAGCCTGAAAACCGAGATTCCTGCAAGGAGCTGAAGGTGGGGTGAGCTGAGGTGCCTGGGGCTCTGTAGCTCTCCCAGCCCATCCTGCCACGTTTGTAAATGGGTTTTAGTTTGGGCTTCCAAGCTGCCGCTCAGATCTCCTGTGCCAGGACACACAGACACCTGCACACGGACACCCCTGTTTGCACCATCAGGGAGAGGTCTCCTGTCCCCAGGTGAGCACCAGGCTGGGCAGCGGTGCTTGCGTTCCACCTGCCACCTCCTGGGGACAGCGTCCATATCCTAAAACACTTCCAAAGTCAGAAAAACACCCTAAAACCCCGCTTTGGTTCATAGCATGCATCATCCTCCCTCCTGCCAGGAGAGATGTAGCAGAATTGCAAATGTCCAAGCCCACCAGGATTTCGCTACGCATCCAGTAGCCCTGCCTAGGTTGGTTTTTGTTTTATTTTTATTTTTTTTTTTTCTTTTTTCCCCACCTTAGGGGTTTAAGACTGCACAGCGAGTCCAGTAATGAACTGTTACTCTGGAAAATAAGACTTTCATTAGGTTAGGATTCTGCCAGGGTATTTGCGTTCCTTTATAATGAACCATGATATTGTGCGAAGCCCCGGCACGGAGCGGAGCCCTGGTGTCTCCCTGCTGTCCTTTACCCACCAACCAGGAGCAGATCCCCTCATCCCCATCGGGCTCTGGCTGGATGGATGGAGGGGAACACTGCAGGGCTGTGATAAGGTTTCCATCTCACTCAGAAGCTTTTTTGTTGGGGGGGAGTTTCAACCCAAACATGGGTCAAACACTGGTTTTGCCTGTTGATCGTAACCCTGCCTTCTCCTTACCCGTGTCTTACAAACAAATGCTGATATTTCTCTTTTGGTTTTTTTTTTTGGGGCTGTGATAAGGTTTCCATCTCACTCAGAAGCTTTTTTGTTGGGGGGGAGTTTCAACCCAAACATGGGTCAAACACTGGTTTTGCCTGTTGATCGTAACCCTGCCTTCTCCTTACCCGTGTCTTATAAACAAATGCTGATATTTCTTTTTTGTTTTGTTTTTTAAGGTGTTCATTATTCATCACTAGCAGGTACCGAAATTGCCGTGCGTGTCTCTTCTGGTGTGAAAACATTAATAACTGCTTTGGCTAAGCGCGGAAAGATCATTTATTTTACAAATACGCAGGAAAATCCAGGCCGGCTGGGATTAAAGCGCAGTGTTTCTTTGTAGGCAGGGGTTTCAGGGCACGTTTTACCAGGAGAAAGAATTACTTTTAGGCAGATCTAGGCTTCCACCAGCAGACGTGGCTGGGCTGCTCGCCCTCCAGCCACAACCTTACCATTGGACTGGTAGAGAGCAATACCAGCATGTAGAGCACCAGCATGGGGGCTGGTTTTGCCCTATCTGGGGGTCTTGATTAGAATCTGTGGGGGGGTGATGCCTTCTTCTTGCATCTCCCCTTCTCCTGTGCACGTCAGGCTGGGGCAGGGGGGCTCAGGACCATGGTGCTGCCTCCCCCATCCCTCTACCAGCCTTGGGATGCTCTCCGCGCACCTCACCTCCGTCAAGGACAAGGAGCGGTAAATCCCAGCAGCCTCCTAAAAAAAAACATTTTAATTAAAAAACCTGACATAACGGGAGCTTTAAAGGACATGAAAGAAAACAGATGTGGAACTCCCCTCTGCCAACCCCCTCCTCCCCCCCCCGCCTTACCTCCCTCTGCAGTGCTTCTCAGAGCAATTTTCATTTAAAGCTTTTTGGATTTCATCAGCTCTGGACTCCGCTCAGAGCTGGGGGTGTGCAGGTCATGTCAGCAGCATGGCAGGGATGTTGTTTGGCAACTTAGGGGGGGACAGGTAGTGCCCCAGGACTGAGCAAGGTCTTGGCTGGGCAGGGCTGTGGGCAGGGGTACCAGCAGGGTACAAGGTGATGACCTGCTGATGGTGGGAATTGGGGGTGTTGGAATGGAAGAAGAGGGCCTGGAAGTCCTTTGCTGTCTGGACTGGCTCAGATGGGTTTGAGGCTACAGCCAAATGCATGAACTTGGGCAGTTTTCATCACAGAGGGGTATCTTGGTGTCCAGCTTGAGATGTGACATGCTACCGGTCCTGCAGGGGAGGGAGATCCCACTCATCCAAACTGAAGTCAAGATGGTTCTATCTTGGCTGGTCCATCCAACCTTGGGCCAGTTCCTGGTGTATCTTAAGCCTGGTTTCACTGCTTGCTGGATGTCTCCCTGAGCTGGCAGTCCTCTTGTCTGGCAGTGTTGGTGAAACGACGACCCAACCACAGAGGTTGTTGTAGATCTGCCTACCTTGGCACAGAAACTCACTGCGTTGGCCAACGGTGCCACCGCCATTGCTCCATCAAGGCCCAGCTGCTGCAGACTGAAATCTGCAGCCAGTGGCTTTTTTTTTTTACCCTCTTTAACCTAAAATATGTTTCATGAGACCAGCACTCACCTCATCAATCCAGAGCTGGGGGTGTCCAACCTTTGCAGGCATCAACACATCTAGAAGATATCCCCAGGCCCACTGAGCTAGGCTGGACCAAACATTTCAGCCAAAGATGTTTCCAACTAACGCACAATTTGAGGTAAAACATGATGTGGGATTAGCAATTAAAATGGATGTACTGATTTTTTTTTTAAAGAAATCCAGTAAGAAGGAGGAGCCCCTACATCTCCAGCATCTTAGGCTTAAAATCAGCAGGCAAGCCAATACAGTGGAATTCAGAGCAGGGCCAAACTGTTCCACCGGGACTGCTCATGCTTTGCATTTTTCAAATGTAAAATACTCGCCGGTTCAGGGCTTCCAATTAGAGCTGGACAAATGAAAAACTTCTCAGCTCGCTGCCCAATCCTCCTCCTCAAAAAAAAATAAAAATCAAGTAAGAAATGGGTTGGATCAACGCAAAATACAGACCCTTTGATTTTTTTTTTTTTTCCCCGACCAAAATAAACCCTTCTCCTCCCCACTCCGATTAATTTTAGATCAAATGAAATGTTTTATTCAATTTCAGACTGAAATGTCATTTCAGAACATTAACTAGAATAATATTCCTTTTTTTAAAAAGTGGCAGAGCAAAAAAAAAAAGTTCAACTTTTAAAAGTTTTTTTCTCTCCCCACGTAGATGTAGGAACGAATTTGCTTTCTGATGAAAAAAAATTGTGTTTCTTGTTAACCTTTTTGGCGAGCACCCCCTGGCAGTGGGAGCCCCCAGGAGAAAGGTGGGGGCCGACCTCGCCAGAGCTGTGCATCACAGGTTGGCCAAAATCATCTTCATTCCCCAAGAGCTTCCTCCTACTTCTCTGCTGGCTGCTCTTTAATCAACTATTTAAAACCCAGCTTGGAGATTTTCATCACTTTCCAAATCCCTAGGACTTAAAAAAAACCCCAAAAAACTCAATAAAACAGGAGAAGGCACCGCGTCGGTGGCCGGTGACTGGTCTGAGCTGGACCCAGAGCGGTGGGTTTTGCGATGCTCACGCACTGGGTGGTGGGGTCTGGGACAGGACGAAGAGGGAGGTTTTGGGGAATGGGCAATAAACTGATTTTCCTGCCGTCTGAGTCCAGGCTCCCATTTTCAGTGTGGCTGCAGCATGCATCACAGGCGGATCTGGAGGCAGGGCTCCAAAGGGATTAGTAAAGATTTATTTTTCTTTTTCTGGAGTGAGATGAAAGGGGGGAGGGGGAGGGAGAGCCGAGCAAGGAGTCCTACAGAAAGGAACTCATTATTTTTTATCTTTTCCAATGACCTTGTTTGTTTTATTCCTACTTGAAAGCAGTTTCTTTCCTTGTGAAAGTTTGGAGATATCTGGAGACTGGGGCCAGTGAGAATGGGGGAAAAAGGGAAGGAAAAAAAAAAAAAAAAAAAGAGCTGGGTGAAGAGAAGAAACACGGAAAATAAACAGAATAAATGTGAGCCGAGCTGGAGGAAGTTCTGCTGCTCACTGATGTTTCTCCAAGGAGGAACACCCACCTGGGCTTGGCACTGTGATGAAGAACCATATCTGGGGGATGCTGGTGGGGAGGACTACGGCTCTGGGGCTGCCTTTGGCATGTGTTGAGAGCTCGGGGTTGTGCACACGCGTGTGCACGTGTGTGAGGGGATGCTGCTGATGCTGGCCCGGGATGTGGCCGTTGCTGCCCATGAGCACTGTGCAGAGAGAAGGTGATGCTTCAGCTTTCTCAGCCCGGATGTATTTATTACACGTCAAACCGGAGCGTGTGGGGAGCAGAGGCATCTTCTGTGCCACTCCCCTGGTCCTCACCCTGATCACCTCTGTGTGTCTCCTAAAGGAATTGCTTCAGAGCCATTACGAGAGGGATTTTATTATTTTTTCCCTCCTTCTCTTTAATTCAGTGGGCTTTGAATCAGACTGGGAAGCAATGGAAGCTCACTAACACACGTCTGCTTCCCTTCTCATCCTCCATGGGCAGTGTGAGAAGGGGGAGGTTGCCACTGGGGATTCATGCTGCTCAGGGGTGAAGTTTGACTTGCAGCACCCCATTAATTTAATCCTGGCTTTTTTATTTGTTTTTTTCCCCTTAAGCACCCTGTTCTCCAATTAGTCTCTGTACTGGGAGCGTGTGGAAGAAGGTAGCTGCGTCATGGAGGTGACCATCTGGGAGCCACAAGGCATGGTCCAAGGGAGCACCAGTAGATCTTGTGAGTGACCCAGACCCAAAGCCCAGCTCTGCCACACTTTGAGGGGGCTTTTGCAGGGTGAGAAGAGCTCTCCAAACCCCTGTGACAGGCAACCCACGGGCCCTATAACCCATCATGGTCTCCATAACCTCCATAGTCCCCAGACCAGGAAGGTGCACATGTCCATGGCCACCTTTGCCACTGGTTCTGCAGCTGAATTTTGCCCTTGAATTGCAAAGACACACTGGCACATTCTTCCACGCTGTCCCCGTAGCTGCATTAACAGCCTCTTCCTTTGCAGTAAATTGGTGGCATTTAACCTTTGACTCCTCATGCTAAAAAAAACAAAACCCAAAAAGTAGGTCTCCCCAAGGTGCAAGGACAGCTGTTAAGCTGGAAAAAAGCCCCCTCGTCAACACGCGGGGTGGCTAATTTTAGATAAAACCCACCCCTTGCTTTCAACTGGCGGCTTGGGTTGATCTTCTCATGGTTACTCATAAATACTTATGAAAATGTTTCAAGTGCTCAATTTGCATAGCTATAAAGTCTCATAAATAATTCTGGGTACTAGTATTTAATTATGTGACCTATATTGTGGAAGCATTTTTGCCTCATTTATGGAGAGCAGAATCCTTTGGAATGGAGACCAGGGTATTAAGTGGCCGTTGAGTTGCTGTCGGAGCAGCTGTAGAGAAGAAGGAGATGGGGACCCAGCCCAAGAGCTTACCTGCAGCTTCTTAGCAATACTAGCACTAATCAAGGAGAGTTTAACTTAAATACATCTCTTATGCCTACTATTGGGAGCTGCATTTTAACCACGGGGAGTCCCAGCACAGCCCATTTAGAAACAGGGCGGTATTTCCCAAGAAGGTTGAGGTACGTGGCCCTGGGTATGAGCAGAAGACTCTGTTCTGCAAACTGGAGGACCCTGTTACCTCTAAATAACCTGCTGGCAAAGAGGAGACCAGCCCTTACCCAGTGTGACCACCAGCAAGCCACGCGTGGGAAAACTCCAGCTAAACTGAGGAGTTTCAGGCTGGGTCTGATAAGCCATGAATTCAGTGGGAAGTCACCTTCTCTAGATTGAGCCCTCAGACTTCAAAAGGAATAATAAAAAAAAAAAAAAATCAATTTTTCTTTTTTTTAACCCACTGCACCACCAAGTTTTAGCTAAAGCCCACTGAAGAGAAGAGGAGCGAGTAAAGGTTGAGCAAAGGGAGAGCAGAGAAAAAAAATGGAAGAAAAAGGTCTTTGTAGGAACCGTGCTTCAGCAAGAGACTTCCCAGCTGCCGGCTGGGGTCCTGTCTTCATTATCTGAAACCCCACGTTGGGGGCAAAGCCTCATCCTCCTGGGCTGCCTTCTCCTTAGGGGGAGAGCTGGTGAGTAATCCCTGCCCCCAACCATGGTGGCTTTTAAATAAACATAACCCTCGTGTGGAAGAAAGCAGGTTTTTTATTTCAAGGGGAAAAAAAATGCTGCCGAGGGGTTTTCCCTGTAAAAGGCGGGCCCCTGGTGGACCCCCATCCCAAGGGCAGAGAGAGGGTGATGCAGGCAGATCCCTGCCCACGGCATCCCCCATCCCCTCCCGGGGGGCTGCCGGCATCCAGCATCACAAGCTGTGTCTATCTGCAAGCCAGGGTATTATAAATAATTTATTCTCTGGGCAGGGGTTTGGGGGAAGGGGCGGGGGGGGAGGTGGGAGGAAGAGAGAGTGAGCTTTTTAATTAAAACGGTATCTTACAGATCAAATAAATATGAATAAGATGCCAAAAACAACTGTACAAATCCCAAACATTCTCTTGTGTTTTAATTATTTGTGTTGATAAAACAAGAGCGCAGGCATTTTACTCCGCTTAGAGGGCGAGGAGGCAAAAGGTTATGCTGGCATTTTTTTTATGTTCTTTTCAAGGAACAAATGTTTCAGAAGCACAGATCTGACAAACTATAATTCATATCAGGAATTAAATTGGAATTTAGAGAACAATTGTTAATATTTCAAAGTAATTGTTTAAGAAATTATCATTTTGGTATCTGCCTCAAAAATAATTACCCACCACTAATTTTTCTTTTTCAAAGGCTGCTATTTGTTGGAATAGTGGAAAGATGAGGAGTTTTTGCTGTGGGCTATTTATGTAGTTCAAATGAGGAGATAAATAGGAAGGGACTTTCATGTTCCTAGGCAAATGAGTCTGACTAATGTACGGCTTCAAGCTCAAAAGTGGGCCCCGGATTTACTTGAAAATTCGGGGAATTTTTAATGGGTGGGATTTGCAAGTCACAGCAGGCAAGCGAAGCATCAAAACCCGTGCATGTTAATTAGAAATGGGGCCCCAGAGAAACCCCCACCGCGTGGAGAAACCCTGGGGTACCAGCGTGGTGGCTCTTTCTCCAGGTGGGCAGACCCCAGTAACACAGCCCCAGCCTGGGCATCTCTCCTTGCCCCATGTCAAAGGGGATGAGGTTGTGTATTTGCAGGTTACACATGTGCTTTTACCACTGGTCTTTCCAGCACGGCATCCCAGAGAGCCAAAGGAGACATGGGTCCACTCCACAGCCCTACCACACAGCCCTGCCGCCCCTTGCAGCACCTTGGGCTGGAAGAGGAGGGCTATTCACACCATCACAGCATGGTCAGGGCTGGAAGGGACATCTGGAGACCATCTCCTTCAACCCTCTGCCAAAGCAGGGTCAACCCAGAGCATAGTTTGGAATCCAGGCATCCAGTCAGGTTTGGAATATCTCCAGAGGAGACTCCACCACCTCTCTGGGCAGCCTCTTCCAGGGCTCTGCCACCCTCACAGGAAAGAAGGTCCTCCTCGTGTTGAGATGCAATTTCCCATGTTCCAGTTTGTGCCCCTTGTCCTGTGGCTATTCCTACTTCTGCTCCCCAGAGCATGGTTTGGAATCCAGGCATCCAGGCAGGTTTGGAATGTCTCCAGAGAAGGAGACTCCACCACCTCTCTGGGCAGCCTCTTCCAGGGCTCTGCCACCCTCACAGGAAAGAAGTTCCTCCTCGTGTTGAGATGCAATTTCCCGTGTTCCAGTTTGTGCTCCTTGTCCTGTGACTATTCCTACTTTTGCTCTTCATAGAATAACCTCCCCTGGTGCAACTTGAGGCCATTTCCTCTTGTCCCATCTCCTGTTCCTTGGGAGAAGAGACCAACCCCCCCTGGCTACACCCTCCTTTCAGGGAGTTGGAGAGAGCGAGAAGGTCTCCCCTCATATAGGCTATCTGCAAGTTGAGACATTGTTGGCCTCCTGGAAAGGGGGCTGGGTACTTGAGTATTTAGAGGATCATGGAAAAAAAAAAATAGGGTAAAAGGGGTCTTAAACATCATCTTCTGCTTCCTGCAGCCCCAGGGTGGGGTTATCCAGACCCTATAGCATCCTGCCCCTATCCCCTGCTGTGCTGCACTGCTGGAAAGAGTGTCCTCCTCCCTTTCCTCAAAGGACAGAGAGAAACTGCAGTGGTGACAGCACCAGGAGAGGTTCCACAAACAGCAGTTTCAAGGAACGGCTGTAGATTTCTCTGTTCGGAGAGGAATATGGCAAAGGGAAACTGTTTCCATGAAAACACGGTTTCAAACGTAAAAGGAGAAACTATTTTCTGGGCATCGTTAAATTTTTCTGCAAAATTACTAATCCGTCTTTATTAGGAATAATTCTCAAATGCATGTTGAAATACCTCATTCCCCGACACACGCTCTTTTTTTAACCAGCTAGTTTTTCTCCAAGCAACGCTGGTGCTGATGGTAATTTTTAAAGTGCACAGGGAGAAGCAACATCTTTTACCAAGTCTTCTGGGAAGAACTCTTGCCACAAAAACCGCAAAAATTTTTTCAGCTGAGCTGTCATCTCAGCGTCAGGATACCCTCTGTCTTCCCCGGGCACTGTCTGGGGCCCTAGTTGTCCTCTTGGCCACCAGGATTTCTTGCCTGAGGTTTCCCAGCAGGCTGGTCCCTCCACCCGGTGAAGGACCCGTGCTGTCAGCAAATGTGTCCGGCAACCTCCTGGAGGAAGATCCTAGGGCTTTTTGGGTTGTTAATGTGTCTTCTTCCCCCTTGATGCTACACCTCCCTCTTCCCTTTGATCTCAAGGACTCCAGACTCTCATGAAGACGCTGGTCTGGAGGCTAATGAGGAATACACTTGACCTTTGCAGATGCTGTGATTAAAGATTACCGGAGAATGTGGGGGAAGTTAAAAAAAAAAAAGAAAAAAAGCTCCTTTTGGCTTCATCCTCCCAGCTTGTTGTAAGTATCCCAATTACGAAGCAGATCACAGAGGCTGTGTTGGAAGACATTGGTATCAGCAAATTAGCAGGCTGCAGCGGGAGCAGTAATTAAGGCAGCTTTGTGTTTGCCGGGGGTTTGGGGCTGTCACTCCTGTTTGCCTGCAGCTTGGATTCCGGGTCCCCTCGCACGCCTGGGGTTGGGGAACCTGCTCGTGCCGTACACACCGTGATTTTTAAATAATTGCCGTGTTTTAGGCATTAATTGTAGCGATTGCTGGGGAAGGACAGAACACAAGGGAAATGGTTGTGGTTTGTGCTGCCGCTCACAAAGGTACGGGGAAAACACCGTCCATCTGAGCATGGGCGAGAAAAATCGGAGAGGAAAATGTTTTCTTTCCCCATGGAAAAGGGAGGATGATGGATTTATTCCTTCCTGCCCTTGCGTGGCGGCAGGTAGATCCCTGGTAGGTCCTGGTACCCGGGAGGGCTTGGGAAGGGTGGGGAATGGAGTGGGGCATCACGGTCCTCTGCTGCACCACGGGCACCCATCCGGCTTTTGGGGGGTGAGGGAACAGGGTTCACAGCCCTTCCTTTGGGAAGTCAATCTGTAGCACAGACCTGTTCGTATCAGATGTCTCCACCAGGAAGATTTCCCCCACTATTAAGCCAATATTCTCCTTAATTTAAGCCCATAGCGCTTGTTTTGCATCTGTGTAGAGGCATTAAAAAAAAACAACCAAAAAAATCCCCCAGATCTCCCTTTCATGTTGTTTATCATCTCTAAATATCAG